GAAGGGAACATGGTGGATGTTGCAATGCTGTCCAAAGGAGAAATCTAGGAGGAGTTCATAAAGTTGATCCTATATTGAGAAGCATCAAGGCTAAACTTCGTATGTTCCATGGAAGTAMAAACCCGAAGGAATACATTCAATGGGAACAGCAAGTTGAACGTGTCTTTGATTACTACCCATTAAGTGAGGAAGTAAAGGTAAAACTCATTGTTGCTCAACTTCGAGATTATGCAATTACTTGGTGGGATAAATTATTTTTGAGTAGGAGGAAGAACTTTGAGTGTCCAATAAACTCATGGTATGTTCTCAAGCATTTAATGAAAGAGAATTTTGTTCCCAAGTGTTTCTATAAGTTGAGATCTTTGAGACAAGGTAGCAATAGCGTGGAGGCTTACTACATGGAGATACAAATGTTGCTTGAGGAGCTTGATCTTTATGAGGATGGAGAGTTACAATGGCTCGTTTCTTAAGAGGACTCAAGAAGGAAATTGCCGAACGACTTGATCTTCAATTTTATGAGGATTTAGAAGGGATGGTGCAAATAGCCATAAAGATTGAGAAACATCTCCAAAGGAAGTATACAATGTTCAAGCCGGGTGATTGGGTTTGGAGACACTATTGGAAGGATCGCTTTTCTTTTGGAAAGAAGTGGAAGAGGAACCCATGTAGAGCTATAAATTTGACATTTGATGATTTTAAGAGTGCTCTACACGGCAAGTTCGATGAAAATTACATATTCAATGCTGCTGCTTTTCGTCCATTTGATGTAGGAGATTCTTTTGATTCGAGGACGAATCCTTTTGAAGACAGGGAGGATGATATGAACCAAAGTGTCTTAGTCTTCAAGAGTTAAAGGAAGTTGTTGGAGAATTCTATGTCCAAGTTGACAACAAATTGAAGTTGCATTAAATGCACTCTAGTGTCATTTATGGCAACCTCAAGTTGCATTGAATTAAGTCAAGAACAAGTCCAACTTCATTTACTACAAACTCAAGTTGCATTAAT